AGTGGATTCGGCGCTGCAGGTGTTGGGCAGGTATTGTGGAAGGGAAAGGTTCGAATTCGGCCTGGATTCGATTGAATGTGTAGTGGATTCGGCGCTGCAGGTGTTGGGCAGGTATTGTGGAAGGGAAGTGATTGAATCCGGCGTGGATTCGAGTGAAATTGTCGTGGATTCGGCGCTGGAGGTGGTGGGCAGGTAGTGTGGAAGGGAAATGTTTGAATTCGGCGTGGGCAGGCAGTGGAAGGGAATGTTTGAATTCGGCGTGGATTCGAGTGAAATTGTCGTGGATTCGGCGCTGGAGGTGGTGGGCAGGCAGTGGAAGGGAAATGTTTGAATTGGGTTTGCCGAAGTTGACCACGTCAGCAGCAGGTGGCAGGTGGCGTCAGTCATCAGTCGTCAGGCGTCACATGAGAGCGTCATTGAAAACCTATCAAAGCCTTTCTGGACCAAACTACGAGAACAATGCAAGCGTCAAACATCAGGCCTCACCAACCAGCAGCAGCGAATGCATTATGAGTAGGTTAGTGTATGTACTACTGAGCTTACACGTCAGGCTTCAATGACAGTGATGCAAATGCAAGCGTCAAACATCAGGCCTCACCAACCAGCAGCAGCGAATGCATTATGAGTAGATTAGTATATTTTGCTACTGAGCTTACACGTCAGGCGTCAATGACAGTGATACAAATGCATGCGTCAAACATCAGGCCTCACCAATCAGCAGCAGCGAATGCATTATGAGTAGACTAGTAGTATATATATATATTACTGAGCTTACACGTCAGGCGGCAATGACAGTGATACAAATGCAAGCGTCAAACATCAGGCCGCACCAACGAGAGCAGCGAATGCATTATGAGTAGGTTAGTGTATGTACTACTGAGCTTACACGTCAGGCTTCAATGACAGTGATGCAAATGCAAGCGTCAAACATCAGGCCTCACCAACCAGCAGCAGCGAATGCATTATGAGTAGATTAGTATAGTATATATATGGTGGTTGATCAAAATTCCTTCTTGCTGGCAGGCCATTCTTCGCGAAAAAAAATTACTTTCGCGAATCTTTCGCGAACTCCATGTTTAACTTTCGCGGGGGTATACCCTCTAGAAATCATAGTGGTTCTACATAGCAGCCTAAGCACTTCCATCAAGCACCATTTTGGATCTGCAGACGAGGTTGCGGCACAAGGCAGATTGGCGAGAACTCTCAATCACCACCATTGGATGAATCAGCAGAACTGGTGGAGGACGAGCCGGAAGAGCTATCAACGGTTGTTGCGCTCATGTCTTGCTAGGTCTGTCGCTGCTTGGCTTGGGCAGGGGTCCACAAAACAAACCTTCACATTCGCCTATGCTTTCGCGGAACTTTCGCGAATCTTTCGCCAAAAATTGTCGCGTCGTTGGTGGGTTTCTAGGCGCACAGCGTAACAACCAGTGGCAGCAGCACGAGGAGTAGTAAGAAGTGGTAGTCGTAGTGGTAGTGGCAGTAGCAGGAACAGCAGCAGCAGCAGCAGCTGCAGCAGCAGGAGGAGGAGGAGGGCATGGCAAGCCTAAAAACTGCATGTATACCATATAGTATAATAGACTCTTTCGCAGATCTTTCGCCAAAAAAAATTACTTTCGCGAACTCGAGAAAAAACTTTCGCGGACAACTTGAAGAGGCTCTCGGTGGCATAGGCCTTATGCCGACCTTTCGATCGACTACCATATATATATATATTACTGAGCTTACACGTCAGGCGGCAATGACAGTGATACAAATGCAAGCGTCAAACATCAGGCCTCACCAACCAGCAGCAGCGAATGCATTATGAGTAGATTAGTAGTGTATATTTCTGAGCCTACACGTCAGGCGGCAATGACAGTTATGCAAAATCCGATACAACAATAAGAATTGACCAGCTATAGGGGCTCAATCCTGGCAGCCACTAGAACCAAAACAAGCGAAAAACCGCCAACTCCAAACCACCAACCCAATCCACCAATTTTCATCAGTATGAGACTGCTATAATTTTGAAAAATGAATGAGGCAAGTATGCTTTGACTGCTATGATTTTGAAAAGTTGAATGAGGTAATTGTGTTTTGACTGCTATGATTTTGAACAAAGAATGAGGTAAGTATGCTTCGACTGCTATGATATTGAAAAACTGAATGAGGTAATTATGTTTTGATATTGTTAAGAAAAATGAAGCAATCAAGAATATTTAAACTGACTTATTTGGACTGTTAGGTTGTTTTTGAATAAATTTTGATTTGTTATACTGCTATGATATTAGTTTAGAAAACGTCACTCAATCAACTTTTCTTTACATTTTTTCCCCCAACCCACCCAAAGCTTCTAGTCAGAGGTCGTGACCGCACAAAACGCGAATACGAAGCTTCTAGCTAAAATGCCAGGCCCCCCCATGGCACCAACAGCAACGCCCCGATTGGCTCCAAGCGCTCGCCCACGAGCCTCCAAATCGCCCTCTAAGCGCCCACGTGACCCACGCGCAGTATGGTTTGAGCTGAAGAGCAACTTTCGCATCAAGATGGCGCTGACAATTGTAGACCATGAACGGCGATGAAAATTAATGCCACCGACAATATTGTGAAATAGATGACAATGTTGTGAAGTCAATGACAATGTTGTTATATAAATCGATGACCATTTTGCGGAGCCAATGATAATGTTATGAACCCGAGGACATTGATATGAAAAGGATGACAATGTTTTATAAACAGAAGCCGCTGGTGCTACATCAGCATCAGTCATGACCAAGGACCAAGTGGGAATCCACTTGAGGCTGCTAGGCAGGGCCGATACCAGCAACAGGTTGATACACCAAACCCACAAACATCTCATCCACAATCCAAAACATTGTTTTGGCAAGTTTGCCTACATAATCATTGGCATCGTCGCATATGTCTGTGTGAAAGCAAGCTCGAAGTACCTTGTTCAGGGGAATTGTCACCGACACTTCAAACATTTTGCCAATCTCCTTCTGCACCACAGTCAGTCTCTTGAAAACCTGAGCCACCGTTCAAAACAAAAATAGCTGAACATAAAACATTGCCAAATTGATTTGATCCTACGAAAATCCAGCCTGCTTTGAATCCAAGCCCAGCAGTGTTTGGACCGTCAGATTCCTGGAAAAGGTCTTCGCACTGAAGAAGTGGCCGCCGTCAAATGAATGTACAGTATATTCCATTACTGTCTATAGCATACGGGACATATTATATAGTCTACTATCCGTGTCCTGATATCTGGACTCAAAGATCCAAAGTAGTGCTGGTCTTGACCCAAAAAACTCTCCTGGCCGTAGCAAGGCTTTGCGACTCGTCATATGTAGTGCCTTTCAAACAGCTTGTCTTCTCAGGCTTTGGCAAGATCAGACCCATCTTCGTCATCATTCTCCTCATTCATCCAAGGATATTATTACGCTACCAAAGGATGTTGCTGAAGGATTTGAAATAAAAACAGTGTCATAATGTCAATGTTCGGCAATGATATATGTATAATATATATATATATGTAAATGACGAACACACAAAGTGAATCACGTTGAG